GCTAAAAGTAGCAAAACATTTGCTAAAGGTAAGAAAAGATAAGCTAATAGCACAATGCTGGCTAAAATAACAAAAGATAAGTTAAAATAGCATAATGCTGGCTAAAAGTAGCAAAACATTTGCTAAAAGTAAAAGATAAGCTAAAATAGCATAATGTTGGCTAAAAGTAAGAAAAGATGAGCTAAAATAGCATAATGCTGACTAAAAATAACAAAATATAAGATAAAATAGCATAATGCTAGCTAAAAGTAGCAAAACAACTAACGAAAGGCTAACTAGAAGCTAAAAGTAGCTAAATAAATTTTTCCTTCCAGTCCTGGCAGATGATTAAAAATCGACTACTTGTGTTAAAATAAAGTCCCTTTACATCAGATAATAGTATTTAACTTGACAAAAATGTAACTTCACTACCCCTGAAGAGTATATAACCTTTCTGCTGATGTTCTGCAGCTGAACTTCTATATTTAACCTGACTGGTCACCGAGAGTTGCCTTAATTGGACGTGCTGATTAGATTTCGGCATGATGACGATCGCTTCATTAAGATGAGTCGGTTAATGCAGTGAGGCAGCTCATGTTTGAACTTGTAGCCGTTTTCTTTAATAAAACCACAACAAAGATTCTAGTCTTTGACATAAACAACATTAAAAGGACAAATTAGGGTTAAATGATGATAAAACAACAAACGCTGATCTGACTCACAGACTTAAAGTGAGAACAAATTGTTTGTGCAACCACTTCATCTTTTATCCTCTGGACCAGATCTGCCCCTCTTCTCTGGGTAACGTTAAATTCATGACGCTCGATTAGAAAAGTCACGTAGCTGATGTGAAGATGTTAATGCTACTGCTGTACTTTAGGGTGAACTAAATATGGCTAATCTACTTTATGGCTTTAAAAAATGTTTTAATGTGATGCATGAATTCTCTGCAGAAGATAAAGAGGGAAGAAATGGAGACAAAATGTACAAACATCTCCAGGCAGCAATATGAAAAACGTTGATAAAAACAGAACTACAGTTTTAAAACTTAAAGACAAAAAGGTAATTCACCAATTAAAGCAGTTCTTTAGGAGCAGGGAAACGAGTAAAACATGGAGGACAGAGAACTCGGGGACCAGGACTGAAGTGGTGCCCGATCTGTCCCTCAAGGGCCACCATCCTGCATGCTTCACCTGTTCTCCTGCTCTTCAGCAGCTCCTCAACTTCTGCCTGTTAATCACTCGTTCATACGTCAGGCGTGTTTTCCCAATTCAAGATGGCTGCCACAACCACCGGAGTTCAGCCAACATGAAAACGCCCGCGACGGTTTTACAGACGAGGAGCTAAAGTGACACGTCAAAACAACAAGAAGATCTCGGATTTACTCCTGCGCTGCTCCGAGACTCTCAGGACGTCACTTTTAAAAGTCCAGATTCTTCTAAGGCCTTAAAGATTTTAAACAGATTTCAAGGTTTTGAAGAAAAGTTTCAGGAGGGACAAAGGAAAGGTTTACAAGAGAGCGGCGAGACCAGCGTCGGACAGTCTGGAGACGGAGACGTGGACAAAAAGACAGGAGACGGAACTGGAAGTCCAGAGGAGGGACAGTGGGAATACTGGTAGAGGATGTTGGAAATGCGGCTGCCAGGAAAAAAGACGACGATGCAGTTAGAGAGGACATGGAGCGAGGACAGAGGACACAGAGGACACTGAGGACAGAGTGAGATGGAGGACGGTTCGCTGAGGAGGAAACAGCCGAAAGAAGAATCCGTTCCGATTCACTGACTTGGAGTCGAAGTGGTGCAGCAGGTCGTGGGGGCGGCAGTAGCGATGTCTGCACACCACCACCAGGGCCACGAAGGAGGCCAGGAAAATGGTCGCCAGCACCCCGATGGCCACAATCACCACCGTCTCCATGGCGACCGTGGCGTTTGACGGCAGCGAGTCGTTAAGAGTGGCGGGGTGGGGGGGACAGTCCAATCAGGGCCGGCTGATTGACCGAGCTCGACTGCAGGCGCTCATCTGCTGAAGAGGAAACGATCATTAAAGTCCGATTGGAGGCGACGGGTTGAGACGTCCCGCGTCGAGAAGATGTTCTTATTTTAAATGCACGTTTGAGCCAAACAGGATGCATGCGTCTGTTAGCAAAATATCTCATGAGCCAGTAGAGATTTTAGTGAAACTCTCAGGAAGGAATTATTGGATCAACATCTACAACTGATTAACTTAAGGGCAACCATGTACAAGATGGCCGCCGCAGCTAAACAATCTTAGACAACACAAAAGTGACTACAACTCCACCAATTTTACAGCTATTGAGCTAAAACTTGGTGTGGTAGTAGCCGAGAGTCATCCCTAACTTATATTTTGAGAGCCACACATTGTGTGACATCTTTGCAGAAAACTTTTAAGAGTTTTAAGACAATTATTGCTGCACTAAAACTAACAGATAACATGAAAATACGTTGTTTTACTCGGTGAAGTGGCCATAAATTCACCAGATTAAATCATCGCATCCTAAACTGAGAAGATTCAACATCAACACGTTTATCTATTTTCAGTTTTTATCGGGTTATCCACACTTTAATTCCATTGAGGGGATTTTTCTCTGAAAGTGTGAAAACCTGAGCGGAAGCTGGAAGGACAAGACTCCAGGTGAACTCCAGCGTCTTAATTTATCGAGCGCAGCGCGTCAAAAATACAAACCCTGATGCTGTTTAAGAAACTGGTGCAAGTGCAACGTCACAGCGTGGTCAACCTGCGTGGGATTATGGCGAGGAATGCTCTAATTCTTTAATCTGATTACTTTTGTGCTTTCTGCAGCCTTTTTCACTCTCGCACGCTGTTGAATCTGCAAAACAAGTGACAAAAAATTATTAAAACGTGCAAAAAACTAATTTAAACATTTTCATCGCTGCCACAGAACCATCAAATGAAATGTACTGAAAGATAAACTATACTGGAGAAGTACTGTGAAGTACTTTTCTGTTAGAATAAATCATATAAACTTCACTTTTATATACTTTTCATTATATAAACTCTGAAATAATGCATGTGGCGGTTGACAATGGTTAGGTTGTGCAAATGTTATGATTATTAGTGATGTGAAGCTGCTCTTTAATGAAGACAAAACTAAATAAAAAACAAGATGACACAGGAAACACGTTTAAAACCAGAGGAGTTACAAACTGAACGAACGTCTAAAGTTTTAAAACTGCGCCTTCATTATAGGAAAAGCTAATTAAATAAAAAAACATGGATTTTTTTTTAATAATGCGAATTTTCTAACTGGATATTTGAGAATTATAAAACAAATTCGCACAAGACGCAACAATGGACCAATAACAGGAAGAGAGACGCACGGATTGTTGAAACTTCTCTTATTTGCTGACTTAAATTAAACTCCAAACTTTATAAAAACTTTTTAAAAGTGCTTTTTAGTTTTAAAAGAGCCTTAAAATGCATTTCTCTCTTACTCACCTCAACATTTCGTCCTTTTTTCTCCCGTTTGGAGACGAAAAGCTTTTGGGTCGCGGGAGCGCGGAGACGGCACCGACTTCCCCACAACCTGAGACGGGAGCGCGCATCGAAGTGATCGATGAGCAAGTTTTAAACAGGCCACAATGTATGGCAGGCCGAGTTATCATATAACTATTAAACACACGCAGACAACCATCTTTGTGGTCATCATAAACATTTTCTCTGTTCAGAAAACATTAACACCGTCCAAATCAACTTGTCAGATGTTTCTAACTTTATTATTTTATAGACAAATTAACTTACCGACATGTTTACCTCCTTTCTGTTTACATTTCTGAAGAAGAACTAAAAAACAAGTCCTATTTTAGACATTCATAATCTCCTTGTTGTGTGAACACTGAGTTAGTGTTCACTTTATTTATTATTATTATTGTTGTTATTATTGTTAATATTATTATTTAGCAAACTTTCAGCTTCAACCATCAAAGTGTTCAACTCCTTCAGGACTTAACTTTCTGGATTATTTTTTTCTGGATTGTCTAACTTTGTTTCTTTGTTCTTATAAATTCACACTGATTTAATCAAATTTTTGAACATTCATTTCTTTGAAATCTACTTCAGCATGCTTTATGTTTTAGCTTTTACCGCTTTTTTGCTAGATTCAGCATTTTGTAGCCCTGCTAATTTTAACTTTAGGCTACTGTTTTGGTTTTGCTTTTAGCTACTGTTTTACTCATTTTAGCTTTTAGCAGCTGTTTTGTTAATTGCAGCTTTTTCCCACTGTTCTACTGGTTTTAGCTTTTAGCTGTTGTTTTGTGGGTCAACTGTTTTATTAATTATGGCTTTTAGTAACTGTTGTGTCCAATTTGGCTTCTACCTACAGCTACTTTTAGCTTATAGCTTTTATTTTGATAATTTTAACTTTAACAGTTCTGTTTCTTAATCAAATGTCAGCAGTCATTCAGCACTCATACATGTTGCATTTTTGCAGATAATGCTATATTTTTCTAGTTACTCGTGGGTTAAATAGATATCCACAATTCAAACCATTTTTTTATATATTCCCAATACATTTTACCAAAAAATAAATAAAATAACACACTTCCTTTTTAGTTACTAAAACATATTTATATAGTGTATTCATGGTAGGTTTAGTTCAAATGTAATTTCATACATTTGTTCTTAAATTATGACTAGAAATATTTGAATATTTGATGAGAGTCTGCAACAAGTTAAGAATCAAAGCAGTCTGTTCCTCAGATAAATAATGTTATTAACTTGTTTTTATGAATATGAATGTTTCTGTTCAGTGCCCTGAGATGACTTCTGTTGTAACTTGACGCTACAGAAATAAACTGAACTGAAAGTTTTGAGGATATCTGTTAAGAACTTGATGGGTTTTGTTTTCTAACATAAAATATTTAATGAAGAAAATTGACTTGTATCTTTAAGTAAAACATTTAAGTAAATTGTTTCTTCTTAAAAATGGGTGTTTGACGTATCTAATATTCAACCTTTATTTATACAGGTTAGTCTCATTGAGTCACGAGGACTCATTTACAAGAGAGACCCGTTTTTAAACAAAGACTACAGTTAGGTGCAGGCAACAATAAAACAATCATAAAAAAAGCATATAAGATGAAAAGGAAGTGATATAACAGAAACATGTCTGCAATGATTTTTGCAGTTGAACTTAACAATTGTTTGAAATCCCTTAGAGATCCCTGATATATATCAGTAAATGTTATTTATGAAATCAAGGTCGAGAGCTTCAGGTCTTTTTGTAAGATATTCCAGGAAACACGAGCGGAGTAGGAGAAGGCCCTTTTGCCAAGTTACTCGATCTATAGCTTTGTAGAGATCTAGAGTGCTGAATGAATGGGTAAATGTGGGCGGCCGTGGTGCAGTGGTAGTGGCAGCCGACCTCTGATCGGAAGGTTGGAGGTTCGAATCCCGACTTCCCACACCATGTGCCGTTGTGTCCCTGGGCAAGACACTTAACCCCGAGTTGCTCCCGGTGGGACTGGATGGCGCCTTGCATGGCAGCCTACCGCCACCGGTGTATGAATGTGCGTGTGAATGGGTGGATGGCTGGTACTGTAAAGCGCCTTGGGGCCCCTCATAGGGGGCTGGAAGGCGCTATAGAAGTAAGCTCCATTTACCATTTACCATTTACCAAATGAGGACACCGATTGTAGTGTAAAGCGCTTTGAGCATCTTGAAATAAGATAGAAAGGCGCTATATAAGTACAGTCCACTTACCATTTACCAAGTTCAGTCCTCACTGAGGGAACACTGCAGGTAATAATGTCCTGAGAGCGCACGCTGTAGCTGCACTCACGCAGAGACATGTAGGAGGAGATGTATGAAGGCAGCAGACCAAGAAGTGATTTAAAGATGAAAATGTACCAGTGAGAGAGTCTGCGTGAAGTTAATGGTGTCCAGTTAACCAGTGAATACTGGGTGCAGTGGTGGGTACGATAATCACAGCCAGTTATGAATCTTAGTGCACCATGATAGACAGCATCCAACATCTGCAGCATCCAACATCTGCAGGGTTCTTGTAGGAGCGTTCACGTAAATAATGTCACCGTGATCAATGGAGGGAAGGAAAGTCACAGTTAGTGTTTCCTTCAGAGTTAGACAGGATCTATTTCTGAAAAAGAAACCAAGTTTTACTTTTAATTTCTTTACCAAGTTTTCGACATGAGGCTTAAAAGAGAGATGTGCATCAACCAAGATTCCCAGGAATTTGTAAGAATTGACAAACTCAGTAGGAAAAACATTCCTAAGATAGAAGGAAGGACTGCTGCGACTTCTTGTTGGAAAACATCCCTTTGGTTTTATCAGCATTTAGCACCAGTTTGAGACGGAACAAATGTGACTGGATGATGTCGAAAGTAGAGTGTGACTGTGGATAGAAGCCTTTCTGCATATATTAGCTAATGCTTTTTATTATCGATCAATCAATCAATCAATTACTATAGTATTACTCAACAACACAAGTTAAAAATGTCATAAAACGTATAAAAAGCTTTGCTAACCCAATAAAAACATTCAAAAATACATGACACATTAAATATATTCCTATACACTGAGAATAATTCAATCATCTAAAATAGACTACTCTCAGTCTAACCAATAAATGCTGAAAATTACAGCACAGGCTACTTGTTTATGCTTAAACTAACTATCAGTAAATTTTATTTATGATTTAATTATAGCTGGACATGGGCAACAGTGAATCCTGCAAACAAAGATGGAAGAAGCGGGTAAAGATCATGGAATATTTGGATAATGTTATTTTACTATTTGTTATGATTTGAATATATGTAACAGCGGTTTTCCATACACCCAAACCTCACGTGATGAATTGCGCTCTCGCGAGCTGTAGAGACTTGAGAAAAAGAGTTCATGCAGTTAACGGGAGATGGCGC